TCTAGTGTGATTTTCTCAATTCTACATACTGCCGCCCTCCAGCCCTTCCTTCAACCCTATTGAAGTTTTTTGGCCTATTTTCAAGAAACAAGTGTTCCCTCAGGGTTTCTGTTACCCTCAATGACATCAACGAAATTATGAATGAAGAAGTCTGGATATCTTCAACAAACTCTTTTGCTCAGAAACTTGAGTTTTCCATGTAATCTAGACCTTAGATATTCATTATTTGAAGATTTTGAGTTATATTTAATTAAACCTCGTCTCGCGAACTTTTTGTTAAGCACTATAGGTAATGCCTCAAATTAGCGTTTAATATAATCACCTCAATTAATTATAATCACCCCGATTTGAACAACTTTATTAACATGTCGTAAATTACGGTAATTAACACATCGTTCATTTGGCACCATGCATGTAATACCCCGAGCGAATCAGAATCCCCCCTTGAAAATACCTCCCCCTGAAAATACCCCCCTTTCTATTGATATATTTTATATCATATATAAGTGATTATAATCATACTACCCCCCCACCCCCGCCTGCTGCAGCATGAGTTATAGGATGCAAAACTTGTTTCATGGCGTTAGCATTATTTTTTCATAATTTTTAATTATCCGTGAACGCTCGCAAAAAACGGATATTTTCTACATTTCTACATTTCAATCCCTTATTCTTCAGAAGGGTTTCTCGAAATTAAATTTATGCGTCAGTTCCAAAAACTGCGTTTTCGAACGATTTCTAAGAAATATCCTTATGTAATTATCTAATATTTCTTAGAAAATCAAAAATAAGTGATTAAGAAAGTGAAATAAGTGATTTAGACACTTTCAGCTGAATAAGTAAAATAAGTGAAAATAAGTAATTACTTATTAATCCGGTCCCTGCTGAACATTATTAAGCTGCGCGGTAATGTCTGTGTTTTGCGGGGTAATGTCTTGCGCGGTAATGTCTGTGTGTTTTGCGCTGTAATGTCTTGCGCGGTAATGTCTTGCGCGCAAATGTCGGTGCACCGATTGATACAATTAATTGCAATCAATTTCAGTGATTTTTGAAAAACAGTATCAAAGACATTTATACGAGTCTCCTAAAAAATGATTCCTTCATTTAAAAGATTTTAAAAATTCTGCAATTTTAAGGATTATAGCCTTGATACCCATACTTTCAGTTTGAAAATTAGAAAAAAGGTAGAAAACGCGTCTCTCAATTTAATGCCACTTGAAACGAAAAAGTAGTCATTTGCGGTCATTTGATCTCATAAGACCAATTGGTTTGTTTAAAATTTTATTCCACTTCTTATCCGTCAAATAATGATCAAAATCTTGACTAGTCTCTTTTTTTTTCAAATAGGCCTGTAAAATTTGATTTTTCTCTCAGGTACATGTTCAAAACTCTTTATAAAAATCACAAAAAATTTCAGAGATTTTTTCGGTTAGTTTGGGAAACATATTTTAACGAGAATTTTGCCTCGGTCAGTACGTGCTTGTTAGCTACGAAGTAATAGACTCTACAAAATTAACGAAACAAAAACAACAAAGTAGAGCTCACGTAAATAACTATCATAGTTTGTTCACAAAATGGCGTAAGTTGTTTAAATATGCACAGAAAAAAGAAAAGTTTTCTACATGTTAATCTGTTAAAAGTATGAGAAAAGGTGAAATTAAGGTTTTATTAAAGTGAAGTGAATTTATCATAATTTTGTGTGAAAATATAGGCTATGTTTTGTTCACACATATGGGATCAATTGAGCAATCTCCCCCCCGTAATGACCAATTGAGCTATCTCCCCCCCAGCAAAAACGAAAAAAACTCTACAAAAAGAGGTCAGCAAACGCAAGTAGATAGATGATGTGTTTAAAGCACGCAATCAATTAACCGATTGAAGTTTATTTTTTATGAGTACCGAAAAAAAAATTGAAAAAAAAAAATCAAAATTTATGAAAAAAAAATTTTTTTTTGCAAATTTTTGTTTTAGGGACCATAGCCTCATTTAGGAAAGCAATTTACCAGGGTTGGTGATCTAGTCTTGTATCTGAATAGCAAAAAACGGTTCGCCGCAGCACCTTAATATTGCACGCTAAAGCTTTTTGTCATTTTAAGAAAGAAAAAAAGTCGCTTTTTATGCGGATCAGAAGCGCTGAGGAAACTGAAAGAAAGGAACCAACTTCTTGCAGCAAATCTCGGAAGCAATTTCAGCCAAGGGACACTAAGATCCAGAGTGGAGAAGGAGACGCCTATCCAGGGCCCAACAAACAAGTAACCTTGAATTCATTTTACTGTTTTATCTGGAGAAAGTGGTTGTATGTCGGAAGATTTTGGACAGAAAATCGGGTCGGCTTTTATTCAAAATATTTGATGGGAAAATTGTTAAAGTTACTAACAACACCTATATCGTAGAAAAAGGGAAAGTAATTAGAAAGAACCATATATCACTTAAACCGAAACTCAAGACAGTACAATGTTCGAATGTCGATTCCAAGACACCAGCTGCAAGCACGCCGAGGAAGCCGTTACATCAGTGTAGCTCGAGTAAACCAAACAGACCACCAGTACACATTCTGCCGAGGCCAGATGTATCACCGGTATCTTCACCGACAGAAAACTCAGATACAGAAGATAAGCAGGAGCCATTTGCGAGACTAGATAGACTGCAAGCAAAGACGATGAAGTTGTATACATCATTGACGAAACTATCTAAAAAGAATCCACCCATTTTAGCGGCCAGATAAACAACCTTGCCAACTGTACTCTGAGACATTCCAAGCGGCAAAATTGTGACCATGTCTTCGAGCAGCTCCCCGGAACATAAAGTACAGGCAGTACCAGCAGTGAATAAGCCAGAAGTCCAAACGACAAACGAATGCCCGATATCATCAGTCCCGATTATAGCAACGGAGGTGCAGGGAGCGAGTCAGATGATAACGGAAAACTGCCCGATATTTTCGGTACCGATAAGACAGAAAGATCAAAATACGAACGAAAGCAATGCGGAAGCATTGCTTTTGTTCGTCTCTTGATCTTTCACTCTTCTATCGTCGATCCTAATAGTGGAGAAGTCGAAAACTTCACTAAACAAGGAATGGGAGGCAGAAACAACCAAGCAACCAGCTTGGGAACTACTTCAGTAGGGGTGGAACAGAAGTCAGAAGTAATCAAAACTTCAGATCATTCCAGACAAGCGAAGAAGAGAGACAAAAGGAGTGGACACGTAGATAAAGACTAGCAACTATCATGCAGTTCGAACAGGTCATCAGGCAGAAGCAAGCGACAAACTCAGTTTTTTGGAAGCCCGCTGAAACATTCAGTTGAGAATGTAAAAAAGAAATCAGGCGAGGAGAAACTTAAGACAATCCCGATATCACGGGAGATATTCCGTCGTCGTCACGAAACACGCCGTCACCGTTGCCGGAAGACGACTGAGAAGACCAATATTGGCGGTCCTTAAGCCAGTACAAATTCAGGGAAAGAAAACGAAATTTTCCTAGAATGGGAAATGTGGTGGTAGAGTGTTGACCAACAATAGTTTGAGGCATAAGGTTGATTTGAAGTATGAAGTAACCTATGTTATCGACCATTTGATCACTATGAAATAGAGACCTGCCAATCATGTCTGCTAGGTTTAACAGCTTTGTGGTGCTAAAGCTAAATTCGCTCTTCTTTGACTATTGAAAGATTATAGTTGCTTACCATTCCAATATTCCATATATATTTTTTAACTTTACTATTATTTCAACCGTTTTATTAGTTCAGTTTTCAGATAAGATTTAGGGAATATCACACACGAACGTTATCCATTGGTTCTATTGCTCACGTTCTCACAAAAACTGCCTTTCAATTGAAACACTTAAACTATATCAACGAGCTCCTCACGTGTCGAGGTGATCTTTTTATGTTTCGACTTTAAAAGTCGAGAACAATGCCAGTGATTGATCAAACAAGAAAAGTCGCGGCAGTGTTCTGAGTCAAGCACGGTCGAAACATACCAAAAAAAGGATCGAGTGGAGCTTAGACATCAAAATTCGGTCGAGACGTTCGAAATATATCTGCCTTGGGTCATATCTGCCTTGAGTCGAGTACATATTTTTTTCGGCCGAGAAAATCGAAACAGATTCGAATTCGGTTGAGACGATCGAGAAACAAAGTGATCACTTTGATCCGGGTCAGGGGCGGATTTGGGGAGGGGGATGGCGGACGCTCCCTCCCTCTCAGGGATTCGACCCCTGCCGACCCAAAGGGTTCCCCCTTTGTAGTATTTTGAGCTACCATTTTTGGCTGACGGACCCTATATTTTTTCTAAAGCGCCTTTGGCGCCAATATATACTAATTGTAAGGGGGAGCGCGCGCCGAAAAAAAAACGATTTTTTGGTAAACATTTTACAAAAGTACCTAAAAGTGTTGGCCTGTTTTTTCAGAAGTTTCTTGCAGCGCAGAAAATTAGGCCAAATATGTATTTTTTACTGCTTTGGGAGGGCTCGGAAAATTAATTTGGTCGACCAAAAAAAAGGTCGACAAAGATTCGACAATTTTTTGAAAATCCGCCCCTGCCTCAGAGAAATTCCTAGATCCACCCCTGATCCGGGTGTTTTGTTTTTGCTACATTATGAGTTGTGACTATTTTAAGTGCAGCTTTTTGTTCAGAAAAAAAAGACAATTTTTTTAGAAACTTTGATAATTTTTTTATAAATATATCTCATGCGAGCAATTTAAAATTATTGAACGGAGATATCAAAATAAACTACAGAATTATATAAAAATTATCACACAAAAATTAACACCTCCTTAAAATATTGTCATTTCACTAAAATATCAAATTATATACCAGCAGGAGCAGGAGTTGATGACAGATATTCTACAAAGGAAAAGAGTAAACACTAAATACAAATCTCCGAACTCTGATATGATAATGTAATCCGCATGTTTTACCATCAAGTTTTACAAAGTTATTTTTGGTGCTGAAATATATTTGGATCAGTTTTTTATAAACCAAAACTTTTCGAAAACCAGTTCAAAAATGAAAACCATTCCAGGCAAAACTCTAAAACGTCAATTTTGGATTATAAAAGTCTAAATAGCGTTGTGGGGAAACTTGAACTGAACTGTTCCTTATTCAGCCGAATGAAATTTTAGGCTGCCGTGATCACAAAATAGTTTTTTGTTGTGGCAGGGATGGTAAAAAGCCAGCTTAATTTAAAAAGTTTATGTAATGGTGCAGTCGATTTTGTTGGTTAACTCGCAAGTCGTCGAAGGAACATAAGGGGCTTTGCTTTCCTGGTTTGCGTTGCCGCCGTACGCCGGAGCAGGCGGGTTGTTTCCTATTGTCATGTCAGCCAAGTCCCGAATGAGCATGAACTTCTTGGTGCAGCCGCCGTAGAGAATAGGGTTGAGACAGCTGTTGACGTATGTGAGGATCTGGAACACGACAGTCATGTAGATGACGGGGACTTGGTGATCCTTGAGGAAGTGGAACTCGTTGATCATCTGGATTGAGTAGAAGGGCGCGTAGGAGACAATGAAGCTCATCACTATCAGACCCAGCACGAAACTCAGTCGGTGTTGGTTGATGTGACACAGGGCACTCCTCGGGTTTCTATAATGAGTATAAAAACTTAAAAGAAAGACTTTTATAAAAAAAAATTAATGAAGTTTATGAAGATATTTTCACTGTACAGTTTGAATTTACCCACATCATTTTGGTCAAAAATATGTGTGGCTGATTCGGAACGCGCGGAAAATTTTTCGCGCTTTCTGACTGTTTTGCAGAAAAATTCGGCAAGCTCAATCCATTGTTTTTCTCAAAGTCGACTAATTAATAAACGGAATAAAACCCTTATTCTACTTTGACCGCACACTTCCCGGATAAATTCATGCCAGTCAAAAATTCAGTCAAGAATGTCCGAACTATAGTGAATTTTTTCACTTTGCACATTTCAACTATTCGCATAACAAAGTCCCGTAATAAATTTGAGAAATTGAGAAATTCACAAAAAAAATTCGTTGATTATAAAAATGAACAGATTCCGCAAAGTTGTAAATTATGATGTAATGAATAAAACTTACATCTGGATTCCACAAATTGTACAAGATTCCACAAGTTTTGCGGAAGCTATTTTGAAGATACAGTAACCTAACTATTTGTTTGTGGAACTGAAAACAAAAAAAGTCGAAGAAAACTAGCAATGCTGCGAACCCCTAATTGTTAAGCCTAACGCGGATTCCATTTGTAATAAAAAATTTACACAAATTTACTTCACTTTTTTACTAATGTTTTTCTACTTTTTCCATGGCTAAGTTAGAGCTTTCCACCATTTTTCTAAAGGAAATTATAGGTAATGGTTCACTTATTAGTGATTTACTCGAAAATGATTCGATATCATTAACAACTATAAGAACAACATACTGCTCAAAAATATATCAACCGCATTTGTAAGAAAACATTGTTAGTTAACAGTGCAAGCAGTTACTCTTTTTCTGGAATTTTTTGCAATGAGTCTCAACTGAAAAGCCAAATTACGCAAAGCAAATTATTTTTTCGAGTTATACCTAGCTAAAACCTTCAAATAATATTGATATAGCACGTTTTAAAATTCAGCCATGTCTCTGAACAAATTTCTCAAATAATGGAAGAATATTGGGAAAAAACTCAATTTGGCAACAAAAAAAGTAGTTATTCATGTTTCCGTGACGCTTATTAAATCATGTTGGAGGTGATTCCAATCAGTTATCAAAAAAAACTGATTAGCTGTAACTTGATTACCTGACTTGTCGAACAAAGTTTTTGAAGACTCCGACGTAGAAGAAAACCATCAAGCCCACAGGGATGAAACACTCCATCACAGCGAGTAAAGAGAAGTAGAGGGACTTCCAAGTTGGGTCCCATGTGCTGCCACAGTGCAAAACTGTGATGTTTTTCAGGATGATACCATGCTCGCTAAGGTCTGGATAGGAATCTTCAGTGGCCGAAGTAAATATGGCCATGGGAGCTAAAAACGTGTTTCGATCAAATTACCAAATTTTATTTTTTTTGTAGAAACATTTTGGAGATTTTTCAATCAGCTTTCAATATAAGAAAAACACAAAAAGCAATACAAGAACAGACGAAAACAGACTTCATTGAAAACAAAATATGTGAAATATTGTAAAATTTTTCTAGAACTGTAATTAAATTTTTGGTATCAAAAATTCAAAAACTTGAGATGAGTCACGCGCGTTCTGATCAAGCTTCACAAAAGAAGTTAATGTGCAAAACAGCCAACCAAAAAATTGTGTTTTGTTTATAAAAAGCTAAACAAAACAAAACCAATTGTGATGACTCTGAGGTTGATCTTGCTACACTGCTTTGATTTGTATTAAAAAATGTATTAAGAACAAAAGAAATTTTGTTGGATTAGGTAACATGCTCATTTGTCATTGACACAAAAGTCGCCCATTACGTTTGGACAAATTTTGATCAAACTAATCGATGTTTTCCGATTTTTTTTGTAAATGCCTGATTAATAGATAATAAAAGTTAACAAACAGATTTGACAAAAAGTTAATTTCAGATTCTGCTACTAATTAGGACGAAAAAGTACTAATAAATTTTTATACTCACCAGAAATTATAAAACCACTTAGCCAAACAATAAGCAGAGCGATCGTGTTGTTCGAGTGGTATGTTGAGCTGTAGGTGTATGGCTGGTTCATGGCTTGGTATCGCTCATAGCTCATCATCACAATGAGCCAAGCACTCACGTGTTGAGAGAGAACATCGAGGAAAAATTTCGGTCTAAAGCACAGTGGAGAAAAAATCATCAAACATGTTCAAAAATTAAATACCCTAGAATAAGGCAAGAAAAAACTGTAAATTTTTTGATTATATTAACCGTCAAAATTGGTCAAATTACTAGAATGCTTACAAAATTATATCATGTAAGCGAAAACAAAAACTCATGTTCAGCCTTGTATCAAAACGTTTTTCTTTTCTCAGGAATTAGGTAGTTGATAATTGTTGAAAGATAGTCGAGACTCACTTGCAGAGATATGGCGAGATGACATGCTGCAGCAATTGTTCCAAACTCATCACTCCCAATACAAGCAGGTATATAATGTCGGAAATAGCCAAATGAACAAGAGCGTGGCTCACAATGTGTTTCTTGATCTTTTTCCATTGGCGTCGCATTATTACCAGAGCAGATATGTTGGCAACTTGGCCAAACGCAAACAGCATTGGCATCAAAAATCGTGTCATCAGCATTTTGTTATCGTGGAGATTTTCAAGCTTTTATCAATATAAAACAATCAACAAGCTCTGATTCACCAAATCTGAAAGAAAATTTGAACAAATAGGCAATTAGATTTGAGCTAGTTTTGAATTGCGAAGCAAATTATTTATAAATTGCTAGGATTGATTCAATTTTTTCACGTATTTCTGAAAAAAAAATGAAAAAACAAGTTCAGATTTAAAAAACAAGAAATATAGTAAAGAAAAAATGAACCTTCAGGTAAATTGATTTGCCAATTGAAAGCAAAAGATTGTGAAACTTCTAGAATGATCTTTTTTGCTCTGTGGTTTTTTTGAGCTATTTAAAAGGTAGTAATTTGCCTCAGAACACCATTGATACAAAATGAAAGCTTAGAAAACAAACACTGAACAGGAAAATATTATAAAATTAGGATAAAAGTGGAACCTGATCTAAACTATATTTTATGATTGGATAAATTAAATGTTTTACCAATGTAAAGTATTTAATATTAACCAATCATGATCCATCTAACTAACAACCCACTTATTTGTAAGTGCTGAAGTTACTTGTAATTTCAGCACCAGAGAGATTTGAATTTAACTTAGAAATTAGTTGGACTCTCCCGAGCACTTCAGCAGCCGCAATAAACCAGTATACCCTAGATCTATTGAGCCTAGCAGAGACTAGTTAAACAACCTGAGACTAGATAGTATAAGAGTAAGATTAGGATCGGTATTAGACTAAGAAGTTGCACGAATCTATCCGGCCGAAAATAAGATAGCGTGACGAGCAGACGGTGTACCCTATCCGAAATTACTCTATGAGTTACGCCCCAGTCATAACTCATCTGGTGCGACCATAAGTCTCGAACAAGACCTTATTAGATTAGAATTAACCAAGAATAGATTAGAAATTAGACAAAAACATTTACAAAATGTTATACGACAATAATTTAATTGAAATGTCTCTCCGACTCAATAGATCAGAGCCAATATTCCGAACCATAATAGAACTACCCGGAATTGGAAGAAGACATCGAACCAAAGACGACATACGACAAAGTAGAAACTTGCCGTATAGTTATATGATAGTTCGGCAAAAGCCAGAACAAACTTTTATATTTCGAATACTACTTGCAATGAATTTAGATTTCCATTTGCAAACATAAAACCTTGAAGCTAATCTTCAAAATCATTTCAGGCGCTAAACAAAATTAATATTATACAATAACGATTGATAAAAAGATCTAAGATCGTTTTCTTAAAATTCTGCAGTATTATACAAAACATGTTTGAAAAATATTTATTGGAAAATAAAAATAAAAATTAGTAGCATGACAATAAATGGTTAGTAATCATAAATCATCCTGTTGTTCCAGCTTCATCACCTAAAACATAACAGCAATCATCAAACCCACTAATATCATAAAAACACTAAATCTTTACTTTACACAAATTAAAACATTATTAAAACTTAAAGTCACTTAATTTTAAAACCAGATCATCAAGGCTTATCCTTGGATCTTAAATCATTTTCTACTTAATTAAATTTTAAATTTGATCATCAAGGCTTATCCTTGGATCAAACAGAACAACTTTGTTCTCCCCCACCCACTTAATTAGTGTCTAACGACCTCAAACGTCGATTCACTATCCAACCCTTTCTAAAAACCCAAGACTAATAGAAATTTTTAAACAAAACTAATCATTCAAATTAGGATAAGCAGTGAAGAACTTCGGTTATTCATCCTTCACTTGACCCCCCCTCTTACCAGACCCAGGATAAATCTTAGACTTAGTAAGTTTAAAATAGTACCTAACGAACTACTCGCGTTCTAATTATACCTGAACCTTGTGGATCGATTTACTATTCTCCAACCCTTGAACACAATCACTCCCTTAAGTAAGATTAAGTAAGTTAACACCTTAGCTTATACTAGTCACGAGAAAGTAAAATCATTCTCCGGAATCGATATACTTTTCTCTCCAACCCTGAACAAAAAGACCCAGGTTAAGCTAACCAAAAAATCGTAAGAACTAACAGTTTAAGAAAATAGAAATCATTTAACAACCTTTTGCATCCGTCATCCTAAACCTTATGTCATTTAAAAACCTAGGAAATAAACAAACAATCATTTTACACAATTGTGAAATAGATAACAAAAAATACGACCTTGTAATCACACCTCATACACAAACAGTTGGATACATTCGCACAAAACGACAAACACTAAAGAGAAAAATAATAACTAAACAAAGACAAATAACACGAAAAAGATTTTCAAAGAATCGAAACGCATTTTCAGAATCAGAAACCAACAGTTTAGACGAACTTTACAAACTAAAAGAATCAGTAGATAAAAATTACCCACTTCACGATCAATTATATTTTTCTGACTCAGAAACAACTTCAAATTCATCACAAAGAGGAAAAAGAAGAATAAAAAAGCAGTACAAACACAAACCAGTACATCTATACAATTGGAATCAACCAATTCGACACATTAATAATTACATATTAACAGTCATCGAACGAAAAAATGAGCTCAACACACACTCCAGGTGAAGAAACTCCAGATGATGATGAAATCTTTCCCTTTATAGTAGACGCAGATACTGATAGAGGACAACACTTATTTTGTCAAAATTTACTCATAAATTTATTTGAACCCGGAATTAGTCCATGTAAAACAGAGTTCCCCGATGTAAAAATCAAAAGACAAATCATAGATCACTATCTAAAAGATATATGCAACATAACACAACAGTATGGAATCTACTCTATAGAATTCACTTCCCCAAACCATAATAATAGAACATATACTATTCAAACAGACGATCTCGATTTAGAATTTTCAAAAGTCTTTTCAGAATATATAAAAAGCATCCAATACCATAACTCACAAAGAGCAAACTCCATTTTCACCAATGAAGTTTTCGCAATAATATATAGTTATATTTCAATATTAGAAAATGAACTACCATTAACAAATGTCTCACCGACAGACACATCTAAACATTTAAGAGTACGACATGAAATCACACTACTCTCTAGTTATTTGAACGTCATTAAAGAAAATTTCACGAAAGACGACGTTTCACAACATACCAGACACGATTTACAAAAAATTTTAGCATGGTTCATAATAGATTATTTCACACACAATATTGATTTAATTGCACAAGCAAGAAAAAATTTTAGACCCCAAAATTCGAACGATGAAACCGCTATCACAGAACAATCAGATTATGTTTGGGACCCCGAATGGTCTCATCCCGCATTTATAAGCTTCCCACAATCAATCTCAAGTCAAGCAATAGGTACAATATCTTACATAAGAGACTATGTAAGAGTAATACCATTAACAATTGATGCAACACCATTAAACTATAATACATTTTTACCCGATACACAAAATAATAGTTTAAACTCTACAGTCATACACAATGAAAACCTCAATGGAACTAGGAATCTTACCCAACAAGATATCCAGACACCATCACACTTCATAAATGAAGAAATTGTACACACAACAACTACACAACAAAGTATTTCACCAATACGCCCAAATTTAACAACACCAAGAAATACAAATCCTTCACAAACACAGGTAACCTTACAATCAACCGTAAAACCTTCGGTTGCCCCTAAATATTCACATATGGATTATCAAACATACAAACCCGTGACAATACCATCAAAAACACGCAAAACATTCACTAGAAACAACTTTGCAGACCATAATTATAATTATACACATCCGTCAAAAACAAATTATCAACCACAAAGGAATTTTAATCAATATACAAAACCTCGAAACTGGGATAACCCAACAGCCCAATATAATTCAAATAATTTTCAACCAAATCCTCCACAGGATCGCAGTGAAAATTACCCATTTTTTCAACAAAATAAAAATAAAAAACAAACATCTTATCAAATGGATTATTTATCCTCAGATGAAGATTTCCTACAACCAGATATATTTGCACAAAATACTCAAGAATATCGTAGACAAGGAATACAGAAAACACGTATAAATCATAGGAATTTTTCTCCACAACCAATAGATGCACAACATCAACAAGCAATTCAACAACAAAATCCAATTAATACACAATCCTTTCAACCAATTCAACAACAAAATCCAATGATTGCACACTCGTATCAACCATCACAAATGCAAAATGAAATACCACTACCATATTATCTTCAACAACATGAAATAACAAGAAACCAACTTTCAAATTTTTCTCAAATGCCAAATGCAGCAGAATCATTACAAATGACAATGAATCCATACCTTATGGGTGGATCATCAATAACATCAAACAAACCTTTAATGGTTTTCACAGGAACAGACCCTGAATACTCTGTAGAAGACTATTTAAATGCAGTAACAGCAAACCTGATTTTAAATATCGGACCTGAACCAATAAATACGCCACTACATCAAAATTGGATACATCGACGCACAGCGTTAATACAAACAACCTTAGATGGCGCAGCCCAAAAATGGTTTTCAGTACTACCTCAAGAAATAAAATCAAACTGGAAAAGATTTACACAAGAATTTTCAAAAATGTTTGACTCCGAAAGAAACAAACAACAACAAAGAGTTTTATGTAATGAAATTCGCAGATTACCAAACGAAACCATCAAGCAAATAGCAGTAAGAATCGAAACACTAGTTCGAAAAGCATATTCACTAAATACACACGACTATAAAAACACTAAGATGACAGAAATCTTAATGATGACCTTAACACCACAATTAAGGAAAATAGCAATAAAAAAGAGAGCATCCCATCCTTCTTCAATTCGAGAACCCGATTTAGATTTTCGAAAACTAGTAGACAAACTAGAACAAGCAGAAATTACGATGAAACTAGAAGAAACGGAAAATCTGAAATTACAATACGTTAACAAAATTGAAACGACTCCCACTAATATTAATAATATACAAGAATCAGAAACAGATCTCGTTGAAAAAATCACTGAAATACTCAATATTTACGAAAAGAACCCGAACTTTAAAGGCAAACCATCTTTCAAAAAATGGTGTAATTATTGCC